CCACCGACCCGCCCCTCCCCCGCACCGCTCGTGCACCTGCCCAGGGGGCGTGCGGGGGCGGCGCCCACCGTACTGACAGCGAAGGCCCTTCAGACACTCAGGCTCCGTTCCCCCGTTTTCCTTCGCGCAGCGAGGCGGAACGACCATTTCTCAAGACCTGCAGCGAATGGAGGTGGTCAAAGAAAAAAACAAGACGAATTAGTAAAAACGGACACTACGCCTAGAACGTTACGTGAAAATTAGTTACACAGTCTGGGAATAATATATTTTTTGCACGAATTTCCAATATGCACCAATAAGAACAATCACGTTGAACGTTTATTGGAAATGTCCAATAACACATTTCTTCTCTCTCGAGATGCCAGAAATGTTTATTGAATGACCGTATCATTATAAAAATTGGTTTTTAAGTTTACAACTCTTACGATTCTCTCCAAAATTCTCTTAAAACTTTATATATTTTCTTTTCAGTTTCGTTCAAGCATTAAAAGGGCACGATTAAAGTGCTTTTAATGCTTGATTTAACCTTTGAATAAAAATGAACTAAATATATCTTATCTTCAGGAAACCAATTATGAATAAATTACTTAATAGAATAGACGTTAAAAGAGAACTTTCTTGTCTGACACGTGGGTATATTAAAGAGAATTACCTGCAAAAAATGTAAATGTTTCCACGGATTTATGAAGTAGTATCCTTGTTTTATGACGATACTACAGAAAACGTAATACTCCCCTCCTGCAGAAGCACACTTGATAAGTAACAATATCTTACCATGCTCTCGGAAAACAAAATTACAAGAAACCCATGGCGTAAGAATATGGCGGTTTGCCAACACCATGAAGAAGCCCACAAATAATTGCATATTTGAGAATAAGTACTTTTCATTCCTTTCTTCTTAAAAAGTAATAATTTTGCTTTTTTTGTAATTGCCTAATTTTACCAATTTTTTGAAATATCCCCTTCGCAGCTCCACCCTCAAACCTCTACGCAGCCTCTCCAACCAACGAAGTGTCACGGCAAGATGGCGTATTGCAGCACCCCTCGGAAACCAGGCGCCGCGCAGCAGGGCGCCTCGAAGCGCCAAGGTACATCCAAAGATGCGCTTAATTACGGCGCGAGGCGCTGGCCGGGCTGATCTGACAGTTTACGGCGGTAATAGATTATACGGAATAGCGTCCCCCGCAGCCGCGCGCCAACTTCGCAGAGTCTTCGAAAATTACAACCCGCAGCGCCGACGGGCGATCGAAAGCGCAGGAAACAGCGGCCTCGGCTACGAAGTTTTCCCTCGGTGCCACGGCGCATCTCATCTCGAGGACGTGCCGTCAGGGGCGCGCTGCACTGACAGGCCCTGGAGCCCCTAGATTCAAAGTAGAGCGCAACCGCCGCCATTTAATGTCCTCTCGCCGAATAGCTCCGCCAGGACGAATTCAGGAATTGAGGAAACATGAGAGACACATTGGAGACATGATGAAAATTTTCAGATGTTTCGAACATATTGATTTTCGATAAATTGGTGGCTCCCAACACATTCTACATTACACAGTTCCCACTTTTCTGACTACTGAATATAAATGGCGGAATCGGCGGCGCAGAGAAAGGCGTTTCTCTTTAGGGGCTCCAACATATCCACGAGCGCGGGGGAAGGGGGACGGATATCTTCATATATCCTACATTTTCTTTTGTTGATTGATTAATTGATTGATTGATTAGTGATTCTGGTGCGTCTACAGCAAAGGACATTATTCCCATAAGTGTAATGCATGTTTCCCCCTCTGGGAGCGGCGATGATCTTCCCTCTCTTGATAAGGTTAACGGGGTTTCCCCTACTAGGTATCTTGCACCAGCAAGGCACTACCCAATCCAGGACAAGCTCGAAGCTCCCAACCACTCCCGACATGGGTGGTAGGGTAGTGCATGTTAGTGTACGAGTAAGTTAGGGTTGAGAATACAAGCGAGGAAGGAAAGATCGCGCGCAATCCGTAACCCGGTTGTTAGGATACTGCTCCGGCATTCGCCCGGTATTGATTGGAGAAACCACGGAAAACTACCGATCAGAGCAACCGGCCGCTAGAATTCTCCTCCAGACATTTTTCATTTGTAATTTTACCCAATTTATTGCAACCATGACACATTGATCGCATTATGCCCAAAGAAGTATTCTTATTATTAATATCCTTTTTTTTTTAATTTCAATCTAACAAATAAAACAATTATTATTCAAAAAATATTTGAAGGAAGTCATCAACTGAAATGGCCCCCTCTTTGAAATACTTTCTGGATTCACTATTGACAATTTCAGCACTATTGGAGCATCACCATTATCATAATTATAAAATTTAAGACACAGAAAGTGAACAAGTAGAATATATTCAGTTTTATGATATGACCATTTAGCAATATCATCCTTATGTAGACCTTCTTTCCCTTCCATTATGCACCCGTTCGTTCCGTTAAGTTTTGAATATTTATAATTTTACATTTGTTAGTAGATTTTAAAGTAACACAATGATGAATTCTAATTATAGTAAAATAACATTAGACATTTTTAATTAATCATAATTTGCTTCAATTGAGCGACGAAAATTAAAGGATATTCATGGAGTCGTTAATTCGAATCTTATGGCGCAAGCACCCGGGGTCCTTCGTATTTCGGGCCCGCCCGCCCGTTCATCCGCCCTGGCCAAGCGACTGCGTGGGCGAAGGGCCATCGCTCTCAATGAGGGCGTCCGCGGA